CCGAGGAGACATCGAACGCGGCCTATATATTCTGTGGTACAGTGGTCGGCATCTGTGGTAGGTCGGTTCGACTGGAGGAAACTTTAACGCCGAGTCTTACAAGCGCACCGACCGGGAGCCGGGTTACGAATCTTATATGCTATCACTCGATCGAATATGCTTCACATGCAATGAAAATGCGTTATCATTGTTCCAGCGATGAGAAAGACACATCATTTTTCAATCAGTGACTCGGTTTTTGTCAACTTTACTGAGTTTTTCGTAAACTTTGTTTCTTAAAGTTTTAGAGCAGGTCGTGGAAGTCACTCAACCGTATCAAGCGAGAGAGGGAGAGAGAGAGAGAGAGAGAGAGAGAGAGAGAGAGAGAGAGAGAGAGAGAGAGAGAGAGAGAGAGAGAGAGAGAGAGAGAAAGAGAGAGAGAGAGAGAAAGAGAGAGAGGGAGAGAGAGAGGGAGAGAGAATGAGAGCGAGAGCAAGAGAGAGTGAGAGTGAGAGTGAGAGTGAGAGAGAGAGAAAAAAAAAAGAGAAAGAGAGAGAGAGAGAGAGAGAGAGAGAGAGAGAGAGAGAGAGAGAGAGAGAGAGAGAGAGAGAGAGAGAGAGAGAGAGAGAGAGAGAGAGAGAGAGAGAGAGAGAGAGAGAGAGAGAGAGAACGGGAGGAAGACAAATGTACATATACACAGCACAGACAAACACAATCGCAAAACATTCCCCAGAAGTCAATAATAGCAACTCTTAACCCGGCTGTTGCTGGACCTGCAGCCTCGGTCCCCCCGGGGCTAGAACCGGTAGCGGCGTCCCACCACGTGTTGCTCTAACTTGTTGCTCTCTGGGCCCCTGACACCCGGCTGGGTCATGGAAGTTTCGGCTGTCGTGGCGCGCTTGGAGCTCCATTACTCCACTACTTCAGGTCCGCCAAGCCTCCCTCTGACCCTACATACTTGTCACAGATAGGTCGCTTTGGGTCCGTATTACCGTCTTTCCTTGCATGCCATCTTCTCCGCGCCGACCTGCGACTGTCCCCACAGTCTGTTCCCGTCTCCCCACCGTTCTCTTGGTGGTCTTTCACAGTCTTCCCCTGGTCTGCACCACCTCCCCGCCGTCTCCCCTCCTCTTCCTAGTGGTCTGCTGCCGTCTCCTCAGTCTCCAACGCCTCCCCAGTGGTCTGCCCCAGTCTCCCCAGTGGTCTTCCGTCGTCTTCCCCACCGTCTCCCCGCTCTGCACCGTCTCCCCGATATGCACCGTCTCCCAGAGGCCAGACCTCTCTCCACCGTCTCCCCGAGGCCAGACCTCGCTCCACCGTCTCCCCGCCGTCTCCCCGAGACTGGCCGTCATCTGAAGCCGCTACCATTCGTCTGACAGCACAACGGGCCGGATGACGCCTCTAAGGCGGCGCCCAGTCGCACACGGTAAGGCCATCTGGCTGCCATTGTGTCGCTCGTCACCGCACGCTCCGTATTCGCCGCAGCGCGCCACTTTGTCAGACCGCGCCGCGCGCCTGCCATACTCGCCGCCGCCGCGCTGCAATCGTCTCACTTCCGCCTTGACAGTCATTGAACCCCCCAGTTAGCGCGTTCAGAATGCCCTCCAACTCGACAAAGCAGAGTTCGATACGGGCGCTCAGTTTATGACGTGTGAGATAAAGGCCTCTCATTGAAGCACTTAGCCAATGGCTGGCGAGTCATTAGGCATCCTCAGGCTATAAATAGAGTGCAAGGAGTTTGGTCCATCCGCTTACAAAACATATGTGATTTGGCTATAAGAATCTAAGTCAATATGTGAAACTGATGTTGTCGAGAAATGAATTCGTTTAAGTCCAGACATAACTTAGCTTGGGGAAAGTGGGACTTTAAAGTCATTTTATCTTTTACTCAGGTTGATAAGTTAATGGTATACTTTTCAGAGTCTCAAGAGTAAATGTATTTTTTATTTAAATACTAGCTATTATTTAAATTTATTTAAGTATTTAAATTCAAATACAAACTAATTAAATTAAATTAGCTTGGGGAGTTAGCTTGGGGAGTTAGCTTGGGGAGTTAGCTTGGAGAGGTCTCGTCGGATACACCCACAGAAAATTTGGTTAGCTATTTGGCTAGCTAATGCCATGTGTGGCTCTCGTGCTGATAATATCTGGTGATCTCTCTCGTAGAGATCATCTGCTGGTGCCGGTCGACTGTTGCCGACGCGGCCGCTATTTACCCTCGGAAGATAATCCATCTCCAGTGGTCGGCGCTGACGATGGTCGGAAGGCGGTGTCGGCACGCTCGGCGGCGCTCTTTCAGGCCGGCTATTGACACTGGGCCGGCGGCCAATTAGTGGCGTGCCGGCCGCCGGGCCCACCCCGTCAACAGTGTGCCGGCGCTGCCGCCGCCGCCGCCGGGGGAGCGCGCCGCCGGGCCCGCTGCCGGTCACCGCAGCTAATGAGAATACGGCCGGCGCCGGCCGACCGGACTGGGCTCGCAGCGGGCCGGGGAGCCACAGCGAGACGCGGGAGGGTCCGAGGTGGGAGGCACAGACACAGAGGGTCCGGTCTGAGAGGCACAGCCACACAGAGGGTCCGGTCAAGGACAGAGAGTCCGGCCTGAGCTGCACAGAGAGACGAGAGGGTCCGATCTGAGACACAGAGAGACGAGAGGGTCCGATCTGAGACACAGGGAGACGAGAGTGTCCGATCTGAGACACAGGGAGACGAGAGGGTCCGATCTGAGACACAGGGAGACGAGAGGGTCCGATCTGAGACACAGGGAGACGAGAGGGTCCGATCCGAGAAACACAGATAGACGAGAGTGTCCGATCTGAGACACACAGAGAGACGAGAGGGTCCGATCTGAGACACACAGAGACTCAGAGCACTGTGCGTTACGTTAGGTCAGGAAAACGGCTCGCATCACTGATGGAAGGTAGTGAAGATTAGATGGTTTTATATTTGTCAAATGTCAATGCACATTAATCTACGAGTTATAGTAACTGTACGTATAAGGTTTGGGCAGCATAGCTACGTGTCGGTCATCTAAAGGTTTAAAAAAAAGATAGTGTAGTGGTTTTTACATTTCGCTGCATTTACTTTCAATATAGCGGTTGCTCGTAACGGCTTTACTTGGGTTGCATATCCAAACTATGATTAAATCTAGGACACATTTGTACGCCATACACCTACTCAAAAGTATCATGTGGGGTTAATTTGCACCTGCAAGCATATCACACAGTCCCAGCCGGATACTTTTATGTGACCTGACGGCTGACAGCCACAACATCCCACTGAAGTACATAATTAATTTGACTGTCGATTGAGCCCCACTCAGGTGATCCAGGTGGCCGACTGAATAATGACAAGGTATGCGTTAACGACGCGTTTAATGAATATTTCATGGATGACCTTGTTAACGGCGATCCTACTTCTCGTAGGTACGAATGCGGGGGCTGAACGAAATTCGGGAATTAACCCTCGCCGGACCTATTGGTTTTCTACATACGCGCCGGCCGAGGGGGGGGGGGGGGCGGGTACGACCCCCCCTCGCCGTTTCGCCCCTGGTGGAGCTAGCGCGTCGCGGAAAAAACGAGCGTGTGCGCCGTTACGAGACGCAGAGATTGGTACCCCATTTTAAGGTCCTAGGTCAACCGGTGACCTCTGAGGTCAGGTCAAGTGCCCCAGGGTACGGTTCAGTTTTTGGTGAATAACTTCGCTAAAAACGGCCGCAGAGCCGCAATTTTGGCAGCATCGTGTTCGCCTTGCTCAGGCGCGTCGAATGATATACTTTTTGTTCGGGTCAGGTCAACTTAGGGTGTTGACCTCAGGTCAAGGTCAGGTCAGCACCCCCAGGTCACGAAGTTGGTCGAAAGAGGTCATGTCGCATATCATTCGATTCGGCAGGTCTTCCTGAGTCCATTGGTGGCTTTCCCGACTCGCTAGCTCAATTTGATCGGGAGTTATTGACGAAAAACTAATATGACCTTGATGACGCCATAAATGACGTCACGGAAGGTCAACATGGCAAAAGTGACGCATCTTACCTTGCAAGGAGTGCATCAAATCACGATTCTGTGTGCTTTAGATAGTTGGAGATCGTTTCCGGCGCCAGAATAGCAGTTTTCATTTTTCCCCATTGACTTATAATGGTGAGGTCACGAAAATGACCTGACCTCATATGACCTTTAGGAAAAATCTGAGATATACAAGTTGTGAGACTCATAATGGATACTAGATCCTGCAAGTTTCATTTCCCTGTGACATCTCCTCTGGCAGTGAGGGCGTTGCGAAGTTGCGACATCTGAAGACCGTGCAGAGGTTCACTTATGACGTCATAGGTCAGTGACCTGACCTGACCCGAAAATGCGGTTGGTGTCAAAAGATGCGGCTTGGATCAAAGGTCAGGTATGCCAAGTTTCATCTCTCTATCGCCAGCGTGTTCGGAGCTATCGCGAAAAACCCTATGGGGGGGGGGGCGGCACCCGCCCCCCCCCTCGGCCGGCGAGGGTTAATTCGTCTTGAAAATGGCTTTTTGGAGCCTCAGACGTGTTGCTGTTTTTGGCCTCGACCTATGAAATGTGAGAGTGTGAACTGTGAAGTTTATTCAGTCAACGTTTTACTATGTTTATATTGGATTGATATTGTGAAGTTTAAGTGAATGTTCAAAAGTTTTTTTTTATCTCGTAGGCGTTTACCTACTACACTGATATTCTAATATTCATTTCTGAATGACAGGTTTTTCAATATTCCGTGATATTGTTCTTACGGCTGAAGCAGTCAATTTTCCGGCAGGCGACCCCCGTCAATCATCTGAGGCAGGCAGTGTGCATTATGAGGTCTGCCCATGATGTCCCAGATCTCCATCTGTCCAACACATCCCAAGCGACACGCGTGGCGAGTTGTTATCCATCGGACCGTTATTCGCTCTGCCGCCGAGGGTCTCAGAGGCGTCCCTCCTCTCCGCGCCGGCGTGTCCCCTGGCCAGTCACAACACCTGTCTGCCGGGGGGTGGGGGGGGGGTGAGGTCAGGTGCCGGGGGCGCCCCTGTCAATCACCCAGCCCCGCTCCGAGGCTATATCAGGCCGTCCCTCGGCCGCTCGCCCAGTGTCGGACCCGCCGCGCAGTGTCCCACCATGTCGCGCGTGCCGCAGACTGTGCTGCTGCTGCTGCTGTGGGCGGCGGCGGCGGCGGGGCAGCGTCCCGACTACTGCGCCTTCTCGGTGAACCACACCATGTGCCGGTACAGCGGGCCGGACCGGCAGAGCTGCGGCCGACTGCTGACCTCCGGACTGGGCGCGGACCAGCGCCGGCTCGTGGTGGCCCTCCATAACGAGCTGCGCAGCCGAGTGGCCATGGGTCAGGAGCGCGCCGGGGCGCCCGGGCCGCAGCCGCCCGCCGCCGACATGATCCAAATGGTGAGCCACGTTATAGACCGGCAGCTTCTCCTCGGTGAGAAAAAGATAAGACAGAATACAACGTAACTGAGCCTATCACTCTTCATTAAACGTCAGATGTCAAGAAAATGGTTTTACAAATATATCCTCAGAAACAAAAGCAAATCGCCAAGCAATTTTCCATGATTACCTACCTGTTTCTTATCTTCATGAAACAGTGCACATCCGGCAAGATCTATAGTTATAGATAGCATATTCCGGGAATCTCCAATTACCAGCATCATTAGCAATGAATATCCTGCGGACCAGCGCATACAGTGTATGCCATACACGCGACGACACATCGCACTGCTGTTGCTTGTCGTCCATCATGTAGCCGTCGCCCTGATCTGACCTGACCTGACCTTCTCTGGCCTGACCTGACCGACAGGTATGGGACGATCAGCTGGCGGCGGTGGCTCAGCGGTGGGCCGAGCAGTGCCAGCGCGGACACGACTGTGGGTCCTGCAGAGCGGACCGTAAGTCACCAACGCCGACGGCGAGTCAGTAACGTACAGCTGGCGAGTCAGTAACGTACAGCTCGCGAGTCAGTAACACGCGTAGTGGACACACGCGTATAGTCCGTATGATCCGTGAGTCATTAACACACAGTGAGTCAGTAACACACAGTGAGTCAGTAACGCACAGTCCGTGAGTCATTACGGTCAGCCCGTGAGTCATTAACGTACAGCCCGTGAGTCATTAACGTACAGCCCGTGAGTTATTAACGTACGGCACGTGACTCATTGACGCGATCATTCCGCCACAGTCCGCCACTGGTAACACACACGGCGACCGCCCGGGGTATTCCCAAGTGGCGTCTGTAAAACCTTTGCCATGGGAAAAGCGTGGCGTATGGCCGCTGGATGGTATTCAATAATGCAGGGGTATATTTCGATGTACAGGTAATTTTCGCGATTGCTCGTAATGACTTACAAGCTAAGGTAGTATTTACAGAATTACGCATTACGCATACAAGCCCTGAATAGCTGGACCACAAGCGCAGCTTACTCCGATGCATGTAAGTGCTGCGTTCTACACAAAAGACCTAGCCGAGTGCTCTCACTGCCACTGAGCACGGTCACCATGCGAGTGACGTGCTGCGGCGCTGATTATTTCCAGAGGCGCAGTCACATTGGGTGTCCGTCCGCCTGTCACAGCACTCCGTCTCCCTACCTTTTCTGCCTTTTCCGAGCCGCCGGCTCTGCTTATGCTGGGGAAACTGGGAAGGGCCGAGCTTTAGGCCGCGTATACAGCACGCATAGACTTTCTCTGTGCCGGGCTTTTGGAAAACGGGCCCCTGACTGGCTCCTCCGGTGTGTGGTCGTAGGACGAGGCTGATGGGAGGAAGTGGGTCGATAGAAAAAAACCTGCTTAAACGCACATTGCGTGTTTCTGTTTCATGTTGAGCTCACCTTACATTTTTCCTCTGGTCTGTTTCAGCTCGGTTCACCGTCGGTCAGAACATGTTCATCACGATCCATTCGGCGGGCAGCGGCCAGCCACAGTCCGACTGGGAGAGAGCCATCGAGGCGTGGTACTCGGAGGTCAGCGACTTCGACCGCCGCGCCACCGACAGCTTTCCGCCGTGAGTAGCTCTAACGAGCCTGCAGCTCCGTGAGAAGCGGCCGGCTCGACGTCGTAAGAAGCGAGTTTTTGCGCATTGCGTATAGCGAGAATCTCCCCCTCCCATAAGTAGTGAGTCTCCCTCCTAGCTTCTCTCGGTGAGTATAGGCGAGGGCCGGGGTCGGGTGAGAGTGCAGTCGGACGCTGACCGTCTCCCTCCCGGCCGCCGGCAGTCTGTCCGTGTCATCTGCCGCGCCCGTCCGAGGGGTAATGACTGGCCGCCAGCCTGAATCAACACAATCGCCGGATAATGGATTGGTGGAGGGCGCGGCCGGCCGGCGCGGCGGCGCTCGCTATTGATGGTGCCGGCTGGTGACCGTTCACCGGCCGGCCGTGCAATGGGAGGTCGGCACCGCCGCGGTGGTTGGCCGCGTCCCCGACCCTCCGTGTCTGTCTGCCCCTCATCCCGTCCCCGACCCTCCGTGTCTGTCTGCCCCTCACCCCGTCCCCGTCCCTCCCTGTCTGTCTGCCCGTCACCCCGTCCCTCCCTGTCTGTCTGCCCATCACCCCGTCCCGTCCCCGTCCCTGTCTGTCTGCCCATCACCCCGTCCCCGTCCCTCCCTGTCTGTCTGCCCATCACCCCGTCCCTCCCTGTCTGTCTGCCCATCACCCCGTCCCTCCCTGTCTGTCTGTCTGCCCATCACCCCGTCCCCGACCCTCCCTATCTGTCTGCCCATCACCCCGTCCCCGTCCCTCCCTGTCTGTCTGCCCATCACCCCGTCCCGTCCCCGTCCCTGTCTGTCTGCCCATCACCCCGTCCCCGTCCCTCCCTGTCTGTCTGCCCATCACCCCGTCCCTCCCTGTCTGTCTGTCTGCCCATCATCCCGTCCCCGACCCTCCCTATCTGTCTGCCCATCACCCCGTCCCCGTCCCTCCCTGTCTGTCTGTCCATCACCCTGTCCCCGTCCCTCCCTGTCTGTCTGCCCCTCACCCTGTCCCCCTCCCTCCCTGTCTGTCTGCCCATCACCCCGTCCCGTCCCCGGCCCTCACTGTCAACAAAGTCCTTTTATTCGGCCCACTTCGCCAACCTATAGGAAATGGCCCGTTTCCGTACACAGATTGAAGCTGATAATTGATATAACAGTATATTGACAGAATGCAACGCAAGCTTGAGTGATGCATGATGGTAGAAAATCTGCGTTCAACTTCATGGGAAGAAAATGCCGTTGTTACTTGTTTATGGATATAGTATTTGCTTTCTTGACAGGTACAGCCCACCGCCAAAGTAATGTGTGGATTTACCAATCTCAACGGATGGCTTTGACCGACGATTTTTAAATGCGGACTGATTGAAAAGAAGACGTCAAAAGATAAAGTTGTAGCTGCAAGGGTGAAGATACATGTAAGCTACACTTAAAATCTCGTTGCAGTCTGGCTAATCGTTCCTTGGCTTCAGAAGCAGAACATACCCGTGACTGAAACCACACATTACTTCTGCTGTGGACTGTACCTGTACTCGATATCTGTCTTACAGCCACAACTAATGATGGAATTATACCAATCATCTGCGATCAAGACAAGCGCATAGTCCTTATTTTGTACCGATGGGTGACCCATTCGCATGGCTAATGATTGTCGATAAATAGGAAGTAATTGGCCTGTAAAATAATGTTTCGCCATTGATCTAGGAAATATGCACGCTTACGCAACCGAAAATGATGGATGTAGGAGAGACAATGCTCGCTTGTCGCTCTCTTACCTACCGCGTTGCCGGTGGCGGACAATTTAGGACTGTTCGCTGATAACCAACTGTGACGCTACTGATCCGACATCGACAGCATGCCATTGCCGTGAAGCGCCCCGCTGACCGGCTGCTGTCTCTGCTGCAGGACGAGCCGGTACATTGGCCACTACAGTCAGATGGTGTGGGCCCGGACCAGCCACATCGGCTGCGGCTTCGTCCGGTTCCGGGTGTTCAACCACGACAACCGTCTGTACGTGTGCAACTACGGGCCGGCCGGTAACGTACTGCTGCAGCCGGTGTACCGGCGCGGCACGGCCTGCTCCCGGTGTCCGCCGGGCACCGCCTGCTCGCGCCACTACCGCGGCCTCTGCGCGCCCGCCCGTCTGCTCGGCCCGGCCGGCCCGGCCAACGTCGGCCCAATGCCGGGGATGAACGAAATGCCGGGGATGCCGGGCATGAATGAAATGCCAGGGATGCCGGGTATAAATGAAATTCCAGGGATGCCAGGCATGCCCGACATGCCCAGCATGGTGCCCGGAATGCCCGGAATGCCCAGCATGCCAGGTATGTCCGAAATGCCCAGTATGATGCCCGAAATGCCCGGAATGGTAACTGGAATGCCAGGAATTCCCGGAATGATACCCGGGATGCCCGGCGGTGTGAACCTGCCCGGCCCAACCCTGATGCCCAACATGGAAGTGTACGTAGTGCAGCCGGACCCTAACTCAGGCTGTTTCACGTTCAGGGGCTACATCTTCTGTGGCAAGGGTAGGGAGAAGCTGGTCGTTATCAGAAACCCGTTTGTCTAACTGCCCAGCGGAGGGTATTCTGGTGGAATATGCTCAAGAACTAACAGGGAGGGAGAGGAGAGGAAAGGAGGAGGCATTAGGTGCGTGCCCCTTCGCCGACTATACAGCGGATGGGTATGAACTATGAAGCGGAGTGAGCTCAGAGCTGTGCACCAGCTTGGAGCTGTTTGGTTGCTATAGGTAGGTACGTTACTGGTAGGACCTGACCTCATTTAATGGTTGAGTGTCTTGATGACTGAGATTGTTTCAGGTTTGCTTATGGTTATGATGAGTGACTGGCGAGAATGACATTTGTAAGATGAATGTGAGTGTAATTCGTTGAATGAATCTGATTTGATTGGGATGTGCCTATTGAACGTAGTGCTTGCATGGTATTTAATCGACAGCCAGAGTGTTGTATTGAATGTGATGAATGTGATCGTTTATTGTACATTGTACAAATATACTTACGTTTACCTCTGAAATGAGCTTTAGAGTGTATAACACACTGAAGAAGTTAATGAGAAGGCAATCTGCTACGTGCGCCCACATGCCTACATATTTTCGGCATAGCTGAGCAAATCGACATTTCCCAGCAAGAACATCCTAATAATTGAATGAGGACTTAACTCCACAAGAAATCGTTCGGGTCCAGTCCTCATTCAATTATTACATTAGCAAACTTCACATCATGTCCTTTAGTGAAGAACATCCTAAGTATCAAATTTTCGAAATTGATTTTTTTTTACTATTCGAGCTGAGTTGAATGGTATAAGAATCTCAATTTCGAAAATTTGACACCTAGAATGTTCTTGCTGGGAACTGTCGAAATAGGAAGCATAGTGCTGCAGACTACTCTTGTTTGTCCAAACAGGAAGTGACGCAAAATGAGGGAGTGCCAGGCGTTGTTATAGGCATGGAACATACGCAATTGTATACCAGTCTAACACCCTCCTCTGAGCAGGGATAAATAATTACCTAGGTAGGTAGCTCAATCTTTTGCCGATATGCTCGGATGACGTGTGGGCGGTGGGGTTCATCCGACTCGCACTGTGTTTCTGCGTCGTATTCCCATTGTCGCGTTACTCTTTTTCTGGCGTTCGCTGAGCCGACGTGCAGACCGATCCCCGTCCGTGCGTCTCTCTGGAATGGCATGCACCTGTGACCGGTCACGAGATACGGTTGTCATGGCGACGCGGCGGCGCTGCGCTGCGACAATGGTGAGCTGTTAACGCGTCATTATTGTGCTGAATTGGCTGTCGGTCAGGATTCAGGTGACTGTCCCTCGCGGCGGCTGCTGAGCAAATACGATCAGCGGCGACACTGAACGCCAATTCGCGCTCCACCGGCATATCGCCGCTGGGCTCTACTCAGATGGACAGGTGACACAGACACCGATAACCGCATTTAGCGTTGTAATGGAATAGATATGTCAGGATCTGAGGGCAGCCAGATTGCCAATGATCGTGACTCGAAAGATATGATGCAAAATGCAGCTTATACATTAAACGGCTTATGTAATAGCTACGAGTTTTTTGCTTATATTCAGGATGAAGGATTCTTGCTGGTCAGTGGTCACTATGTAGGTAAGGTTCTAAATATATCCGTTATCAGCCAGGGACATTTGGGTCCATCACATTTTCACTACAGAGAGCCCCAAGTCCCATTCAACCGAATGCACATGCCTACAGCTCCATAAACTTCACCAGTGCATGCGACACATGCCAAATGTGTGGAAATTGATATTGACATAAGACGGCCACTGTGGCTAACCCAGAGATAGATACGGCCGCCGTGTGCGCTTCTAGCTGCCGGTGCCCGCAGTGTGGCCGGCCGGTCTGTGGCCGTCAGATCCTCCGGCCGACGTGGCCATCAGGTCCGGTCGGCGCGGCCGGCTGCCTCTGACACGGCTGTCCGGCCCGGGGTGTCAGCTCGCCGCCGATGGTGACGCTCTCCTTTGATCGGGACCGATTGCCGGACTGCGGCGCGGCGGGGCTGAATGGCCGGGCCCGGTGAGGCCGTCACTGGCAGCCGAAACCCGCCGCACCGCCGACCGGAGTCTGTCACAGCGCGGCCGACGCACGGGCGAGCTCGGGAAGTGGTGGAGGTGACTGAGAGGCAGCGGCAGGGCTGGCAGAGGGCGGAAGTAGCTGAACTGCCGCCGAGCTGGCGCCGCTGGCCGAGCCATGAGCTTGTAGGTTGGTGATCCTACCACTGATGACGTTTCCAGCTGCGTTGCTGCCACATGCTCATTTTACAGGATAGACACATGGAAAGAACTATGACAATAATTTCAAAGGCGAAAAAAGCCATCGCAAAAGCGATATTTGTCACACCGTCACATGGCCACGAAAATGGTTTTTCGAAAGGAAATGAGAGCTTCGAGCTGTCAATAAATGTCAGCTGGTACCACTTACATGCCTAAATTCCAAAAAGAAGTGTTGAGCTTTGTTGCCAAGGACACGTCTGGCAGCAGTGGAATCGATCGCCAGTCATCAGTCACCAGACTCGAGTCAACCACCAGTCACCAGAGCCTCCAGTGATCAGTCAGCGTCGCAATCGTCGGCTCTGTGTCGTCGGTCGAGTCGGCGGCCCGGTCTCAGAGCCGGACTCTCAGAGCGCCGCCGATCGCGCCGCCGTCCGGCCGTCCGTCCGACATGCTCTCCAACAGCAGCGGCCCGGCCGAGCCGCACGGCGCGCTGCCGGCCGGCTACCAGCTGGGCTTTCTGCTGCTGGCCGCCGTGGCCGCCGTGCCGCCCGTGTGCGTGGCGCGAGACATTGTGGCCGGCAGACGCGGCCTCTCGCCCGTCGATGAGATCCTTCTGGTGCGACAGATCATCATAGCCGTTTGGAAGCCGCTCACTAACGTTTTGGTGCTGGTCCGCGACCGGCTGCCCGAGTCGGTGCCGCCGGCCGTGCTGCATCCACTGTGTTTCGGGCACGGGGTGAGCATTGTCACGGGGGTGGGGCTGGTGTCGATCGCCAACTTCCTGCTCAGCTTCAGCCGCATCCAGCAGCTGCTGGCCTCGCGGCTCTCGCGTCCACTGGCCTGTCTGACCGAGCACAGGATCCGCTGGCAGAACCGCGCTCTGATGGCGGCCTCGCTGATAATCTTCGTGTCGATGCCGCTGTGTGCCGATATGCAGCCTTCTGCCTACTTCTGGTGCATGGACGGATCGGAGCCCAAACGGCCTCCCATGCTGCTGCTGCTCTCCATTAACAGCGGGGTGAACTGCGTCAACTTCTGTTTCAGCATCTACCTGTGGAGGGTGAGCAGTGGTCTGCCGGACACCCCGCGGCCGCGTAACTACATCCCGGCCAACTGCTGGGCGCAGCTCTGCTTCGTCATCATCGTGGCCAAGACGCTGCTGGTCCCCCTCAACACGGACAACTTCGGCGCCAGCCAGAAGGTGTACCTGAACCACGTGTTCTTCACGGTGCTGTACGGCCTGCTGGACCCCTGCCTGCTGCTATTCATGGCCGCCCGATGGCGCCAGCAGGTCCGCGATTGCAGGCTGCACAACGCACAGACCAGGCAGACGCGCAAGACTAACGCGGTTGTGCCGATCATACGACTGCATCTGATCTAAGACATCGCAATGGAGGGTTCGCTCATCTTTCTCACACCTTCGATGACTTCGATGACTTCGTATTTTATAGGCGCTACTATACACCTACCGTAAAATCAAAATATGGAGTAATCTATCAGAATGTAAGCCACTTTTAGTGAAAGAGTTTTCAGCGATGATATTTATGGAGAAGTAAGGGAATTCTGTAAATAAATGTTGATATTTAGACATTGATTTTTATTAGTTGTTTACGCAGATGAAGTTTTATTCAGACTACTAAGCCAATTAGCCATTAAGGCCTGCTCCTTCTAGTCTGTTCCGTAACCCTCGGTCTACCGGGCCGATATTTTACCATGGCTGTTCTCTGCTGAGCGTTATGTCTGATCAATCTCTCACGACTTCTTGATCACGAGGCACATGTACAGGCCACAGCAGAAGTAATGTGCGTTTTCAGTCATGGGTATGTTCTGCTTCTGCAGCTTAGGAACGATTAGCCAGACTACAATGAAACTTTTAATGTAGCTTACACGTATCGTTACCCAAGTTGCAGATGCAACTTTATCTATTCACGTCTTCTTTTCAATCACTCCGCATTAAAAAATCGCCAGTCAAAGCCATCCGTTGAGATTGGTAAAACCGCACAGTACGAGTACTTTAGCTGTGGGCTGTACCTTGTGACCACTGTGCTCACTGTTCAGTGTACAAACCGACAACCGTTAACACAATGTATTTAAATATTTTTAGGAAGCGGAGAAAAACTAGAAGCTCCGCTTTCCCGAAACGACATTACTGTTTACCGACGAAGCCTTTCTACCACAAACCAATAAGTGCTTTTAACAATATGGCCGGTGCAATGCTGTATCTGAGTTTTTGTAAATCGTTTTTTTTTTTCTGCAAAGATTATACAAGATTATCCTGTCCCATTTACCGGAAATGTTTTACTGCATGATGGCGTTCTATTACATAGACCATCATATTTTTTTGTGGCCGTCAGCACTGGTGTTTCAGTCGGGTTTTATAACATCGAGGCGCGCCTAATGACATTTCATTTAGCCACAAACGATATTCGTAGGAGGAAAAGTTCAGGCGGGGTTCGACCGGAAACGATTTCATATCACATCATACATAACTTTAGTAGCACATCATTTCTTTCGTCATTAGGCCAATTCATATGCATAGGTAAAACCCTGCCCTCTCAGAAGAGGTCATGACCTGTAAGCTCAAATTTGAAAATGACTTTTTAATCTTCGCTTAAATTGGGTCTAATGAAACCTCCCTTTAGCTGTGTGTGTGTGTGTTTTTTTTTTTTGGCGAATAGCTTGCGTAAAAAGTGGCGGAATTCAGCGACTTTTCCGTAACTATCCAGAGCTGTTTACAGCATAATTTTTAAGTTTCCTATTGATTTTATGACCCTGATCCGAATAAAATGTGAGCTATGGTCTGTTTTTTTTTTAGACCATACTGGACCAGAATGGCGATTCAACTTATGCTAGCGCACATTATCCGTACGTTTCTGGACCTTTTGTGTTTAGAAACGCGCCAAAATACGAAACGTCGTTTGTCCCATGCATTATGGTGGTTATGAAAGCTGCTTAGAGGTCAGGTCAAAGCTTTTGACCTTGATGACCTCGGTCGACTTTTTTAGTTTAACGACTTAGTAGCGCAGCTCATGAAGCTGACTTTGAATTTAACACCCCTTTGAGCATTTACCCTCGCCGGCACAGGGGGGGGGGGGGTTGATGCAGCAAATAACTCGCGTAGAAAGCGGCCGCTCGTAACGAAAGTTTCAGTACCTCGCTATCAAAGTTTCAGTACATCGCGTTATTCAATTTTACACCTACACTGAAAATTTCATGACCCTGAACCAAATGACTTTTGACCTGTGCCAACTTTTCGAGACCATCTTTGGCC